AAGGGTTAAAGCAGACAATGAATGGTTAGACAATTGAACCTTTTTCTTCTTCTTCTTTTGTGTTTACCCCCAATAGGGCAGTTGGCTTGTTGTGTGGTGATTTTCAGAAAGGCTGTGATATCTGTGCCTTTTAGTCCAGTACATTCAATTTTAGCAAACCCTTAGTCGCCTTTCATGACAAACTAGCTAGGGGGCAGTGAGTCTATTACCCTCCCCCCCCCCCCCCCCCCCTCTTTCCCCAAATAGTACCTTGGATCCCACATGGAGGAATAAATTTATATTAAAGAAAAGGTATCTGACATTAAATGCTAGACAGTTAACATTAAAGAATGGAGGATCCTTATCATGTAAGGAACGACAGGTAATAACAAAGACTGTGCAGGGGACATTACAGAAAGGACTTATTTCATAAACGACAAATAGGTGCCATCAAAGAAATAAACGGAAATCAGCAATGCGGTGAATTTATTTTATTCTCTATACAGAAAATACTACACACACAAAGTTTACAGGCCTTTAACATTTAACATCTTCTATTCCATTCAATCTTATCCTACTGCTTTAATATCATAAATGGAGTTCAGTGCAGCTCCTTTGATCTCTCTCATCAATGTCTGTTACAGGATGGTTTGTTTTTTCACAGGTCTATTACAGATTTTTATTTTTTTTATTTTACAGCTTCGCTTTTTCCAACTATTTATTTCCCATTTAGGAAGCTGTCTGATGATTCTCTGTTCGCTTCTCCTCAGCATGTACCCAATATTTTGCCATCTTCTTTGTTTCATAACTGTTGATAAGAGTGGTTGTCAAGCCTTTTTTCCCCTTATTTCTTTGCCTTTTTTAAATTCATCCTATTTAATGTTTATCAGTTTCTTAAATATTTGTTTTTGAATGCATTTAACTTTCCTTCCACGTTTTGCTGGTACTCCTCCAACTTTCACTGGTAGATATTAAAATTGTAATTTTAAAAAGAAAAAATATTCATTTTTTATACAGAGAGTAAAACCAGTTCCCTTCACTGCAGTACTTCCAGTAAAATTCACTGCAACAGTTCTAGTTTAAAGACTTAATATTTCTTCTTTTTCTTAGCGTTCACTGGCAGTTAAGTCCGGTAGAAAGTTCTGGTCGTTCGTCCACTTCTGAACTTTAGTCTTGTTTCAGAACTTGAACTTTGCAGGCACATCAATTCTACAGATCTGGGTTTTTTTTTAATGTGGATTGTCAGTTCTCACCTCTCAGGCAGATGCACCTCAACTTAGAAGGAAAAATCCCTAATTAGTCCCCTTCTGCAACAAGCTTGATAGGAAGGCAATGGGTCTATTTTCTTCTTTCCCCTAAACAGGGCCCCAGAATCCACAAAGAGAACTGAATGTATCAGTATTTACTAAATGTGAAAAGTTACATTTAAGGATTCACAGATTAGCTCACCAAGCACAATAGAAGGAACTGAAATGATTACCACCTATAACAGTGAGAACTTGAGTTATTACCTTACTCAGCAGGAAGAACTACAATGATTAAGACACACAGCAGTAGGACTATTCATTATTGCACACAGGATGATTTGGAATTATAAACCATACATCAGAAGAAACTTGAATGATTGACATGAATTGGAATGAATACCACACACAACAGAAGAAACTGAAATGATTTCCCCACATAGCAGGCAGAACTGGCATGATTACCCCACACAGCAGACACAAACTGGCATGATTACCCCACACAGCAGACATAAACTGGTATGATTACCCCACACAGCATACATAAACTGGTATGATTACCCCACACAGCAGACATAAACTGGCAGGATTACCCCACACAGCAGACACAAACTGGCATGATTACCCCACACAGCAGACATAAACTGGCCGGATTACCCCACACAGCAGACATAAACTGGCATGATTACCCCACACAGCAGACATAAACTGGCATGATTACCCCACACAACAGACATAAACTGGCATGATTACCCCACACATCAAACATAAACTGGCAGGATTACCCCACACAGCAGACATAAACTGGCATGATTACCCCACACAGCAGACATAAACTGGCATGATTACCCCACACAGCAAACTCAAACTGGCAGGATTACCCCACACATCAAACATAAACTGGCAGGATTACCCCACACATCAGACATAAACTGACATGATTACCCCACACAGCAGACATAAACTGGCAGGATTACCCCACACAACAGACATAAAATGGCAGGATTACCCCACACATCAGACATAAACTTGCATGATTCCCCCACACTCCAGACATAAATTGTCAGGATTACCGCACATACAAAATAAACAAGCTGGCATCATAAATGATTATTACACATGATACAAGAACTGGAATGGTTACCCCACCATAAGAAAGAAACTGGAATGAGTATGTTGCATCACGGAATGACCTTACATCTAGCTAAACAAAAGTAGTGTTAAAATAACAAACATAATACTCAACAGAGAGAAAGACACAAAAGCTGTTAACAATGTGGAATCTACAAGCAAAACAGAAGCAGAACTTGTGCAAAAATTCAGACAATTTTTAATTACCTGTTTATGTCACGTGAATGGGAACAATATGATTATGTATACGGCAAGGTCTTTAAGATGTAAACTTAGGACTCTCATTAAATTAGGTGGAACAAAAAGTGGCTGATCAGTATAAGTAGACACAACAGCCTGGTTTGTATGTACAGTAATGAATGAATGTATACGGATGTTGTGATGGCTGTATATCTATAAAGAATATATACATATATGTATACATATGTATATTTTGTATAAAACTATAGTTTTGTAAAAGGACCTTGACTCCCAGATCGACCCAGCCTTAAGTGGGTACCGGGTGAAGTCCCAGGAAGTAAAGGTGGCCAGCGGGATGCTGACATCACCCATTTTGTGCTGATTGGTCTACTAAAATATAGGTCTAGCCTTATATGCCTTATACGTCTTAAGGTGTGGAAAAGGGTCCTATAGATATGTTCTCTCTGTCCCCCTCCCCCTCTCTTTTTTTTTTGTCTTTGGTGCTTGCTTTTAAAAGGCTGGGTGGTACATGGTGTTGTAGTTTACAGCTAAAATACTGTGATATCTGCACCTTTCACACCAGGTCATCTGATTTCAGAAAATGCCTAACTAGCATAAATAATACACAACTGCTGTGTGGAAGATGCAAGTCTGGAAGGGCTGAATGAAATATGAGTCTGTATCCAATTTGTGACCTTTTGGAAATATAATCTCTCTCTCTCTCTCTCTCTCTCTCTCTCTCTCTCTCTCTCTCTCTCTCTCCTCTCTCTCTCTCTCTCTCTCTCTCTCTCTGTCTCTCTCTTCTCTCTGATCTCTCTCTCTCTCTGTCTCTCTCTCCCTCTCCCTCTCTCTCTCTCTCTCTCTCTCCCTCTCTCTCTCTCTCTCTCTCTGTCTCTCTCTCTCTCTCTCTCTTCTCTCTCTCTCTCTCTCTCTCTCCCCTCTCTCTCTCTCTCTCTCCTCTCTCCCTCTCTCTCCCTCTCTCTCTCTCTCCCTCTCTCTCCCTCTCTCTCTCTCTCTCTCTCTCTCTCTCTCTCTCTCTCCCTCCCTCCCTCCCCTCTCTCTCTCTCTCTCTCTCTCTCTCTCTCTCTCTCTCTCTCTCTCTCTCTCTCCCCTCTCTCTCTCTCTCTCTCTCTCTCTCTCTCCTCTCTCTCTCTCTCTCTCTCTCTCTCTCTCTCTCTCTCTCTCTCCCTCTCTCTCTCTCTCTCTCTCCCCTCCCCTCCCCTCCCTCCCTCCCTCCCTCTCTCTCTCTCTCTCTCTCTCTTCTCCCTCTCTCTCTCTCTCTCTCTCTCTCTCTCTCTCTCGTCTTTTTCTCTCCCATAGCTTTGTTCACCTCACCTCCTCCTCCACTCTCTTTCCTATATACACACACAACTAAAATTACAACTGGTGTTTATTACTGTAACAAAACTGCAAGTAAGTCAGCAATGATCATATATGTTAAACAGAAAATATTTACTGTTACGTACCGGGAATGTTGGCTGTGACTAGGAAATAAACCCTTTAAACTATCCATTTATTCTTAATCAGGTAAAAAGTTGATTATAAAATAATAAAAGATAGTTACCTCTATTCTAACAAAAGAACCTGGAACATATTTCAGCACTTTACACATAAAAAAACCTCAGTTGCATAATGCACTGTATTGTAACACAAATTAGTTAGTTTAATAAACCCATATGCCATATTTTCCCATACATTAGTTTTCCTTTTTTTTAAGCTTAAAACTGGGGGTCATCTTAAACATGGAATGTGTTTAAAACATTTCTTTCCTAATTCTGAGCTAAATAAATAGGGGTCGTCCTGTACACGGTGGTGTCTTATACATAGAAGAAAAAAATTGTATTTTAATACAAATGGGTTAAATAGTTTCAAGTATGCTAACATGGATTGGTTTAATGGCCCCATGTATTCTAAAATAGATCAGTTCAACAGTTCCACGCATTCTAAAATGGGTCCGTTCAATAGTTCCATTATTTTAAAATGGATCAGTTCAACAGTTCCAAGTATTCCAAAATTGATCAGTTCAATAGTTTTGCACATTCTAAAATGGATCATTTCAATAGTTCCACTATTCTAAAATAGATTGGTTAAATAGCTGCTAGTATTCTAAAATGGATCAGTTCAATAGTTGTGGGCATTCTAAAATGGATCAGTTCAATCGTTCCATTACTCTAAAATGTATCAATTCAATAGCTGCAGGCATTCTCAAATGGATCAGTTCAATTTTTCTAAAATGGATCAGTTCAATAGTTCCATTATTCTAAAATGGATCAATTCGATAGTTGTGAGTATTCTAGAATGGATCAGTTAAAACAGTTCCATAAATTGAAACACAACAAAAATCAGGTCCATGAATTCTAATACAGATCAGACTAATATTTTCTGTATTCTTACATTAATCATTTCAATATTTCCCATATCTCTGCACAAATCCTTTTTGAAAAGTTTAATACATTCGAACACCTATCAGTTAAATAGTTCTGTATACTCTATTAATATAAATTCTACAATCCTGTTCTGGAGCATTGTCTGGACAGCAAGACCTTCACCAGAGTCCTGCTGCCACAGTAATGTTGGTCCAAAGACAATTCCAATATTCTGTGGCTGCATGCGGTTCTTGTGACTAGCCTCCATCACTCTGAGAAAATATATATGTATATATATATATATTTTTTAAATTATACATAACATCACAAGTTAGGAGCATAAGCAATAGAGCACCTGCTCAACAAAACAGTGATCCAATTTAGTTAGTTATATAAAATTTATGACTATGTGGTCAACTCAGCCCCAAAAACTGGGAACCGTAACTTTGCAGTAACACAGTATCTTATATATTAAGTGTGGATCCAGCAAGGAGGGACAGATGAGAGGAAGAGAACAACGTGTGTATAATAGTGCTATGGGAACAGTTAGCATCTACACCTTAAGACATTTGCTGTGGGAGATGGAGCATCTATGGGTATGCCTGGTGTGCTATGATGTCGATTCTTGAATCAGTAATCAGTATGCACTTGTGTACAAAGTTTCTCCTACTATACATTCATTGTATAAATGCTGGTAACTCAAATGAAACCATTTTACTTACCATAAGATCTGACCGTTCTAACATAGTATTTTCTTTTCCTTCAGAAAAGATGTGTTTGGTATCCAGGGACATGTGGTGCTATGATATAGGGAGGTGGCCACATCAGATGGCATCTTAAGGGGGGGAGGGGGGATATAAGCAGCAAAATCAAAATACAATTTGAATATTTGAGGGGCGGCATTTTGAAGACTTGGATCATACTGAGAAAATCTACCACACAGCCCTGTTGGTATCAATCTGAGGTACAGATCTATACCAATAAAAGAGAAAGGCTTGATAAGTGAAGACACGCTGGACAGAAGACAGACAGACATGCCATCCCAAAATTTGAATTCTTCATACTTCATCTCCCTAAAGAAGCAATTTCATAAATCTTTCTCTTAGCGTTCACCACCTGTAAACTGTTAGTGTGATTTCTAGAATGGACGGTTGTGCGACCCATGTGTGTTAAGGGGCCGGCACAAAGGTGGCTATGTGGAAGGCTGGGGAAATAGTGAAATTGTGATGGGAGGTATCAGAGCCTGATTAACGGGATATAAGTCAGTGATACTTCAATAAGGGGCTGAAGTAGCAGAAGGAAGGTCTGCAGATGTTCACCAAATGATGCATCTACCTTGAGTCCCCAGGTGGCGGGCTCTTTGAGAGGAATAACCATCAGAGGATTGTTACTGCACCTCACATAGGTGTATCTGATTTGGTGGAGCTGGTTGCCTGTAGCAGGCACCTGGGACATAGCTCACTGGGGTGTATTATCCATGTCTCAGAGACTGCCCATGTGAGTGTGTGGAAGGTAGTAGTAGACTTGACAGTCATCAATCACCAATTCATCTTCGACTTCTTAATTAGTTGTCTTTTATGATGTGCTTAGTTAAGGGACAGTAGACCCCCCCCCCCCCCCAAACACAAGGCCCTGGAACCTACACAATAGGGGCTCAGTTTAATACACTGATATGCTCCTCCTCATATTTTATTATTTCATAATGTCTTAAGGCCTCAAAGATGTGGTTGTACAGAAGAATCCTTAGAATTCCTTGGACAGCCAAAAAGAGTGACCCAGATGTTAAGAAAGAGGTGAGGTCTTAAAGACAACTTATCACAAACATCAAAAAAGACAGTCATCATTTTCTGGTTCAAGTTACAAGAAGAAGGAAATCGGAACATTCTGTGGCCACTCAAAAGATCTGTAGAAGAAGAGAGGAAGACAATGTGAGATGATTCTTGACAGCCTTTTCTCATGGAATGGAGGGATGTCAACACACGAACAGTTAGATAGATGCTGCTGAAGATCACAGATAGCGGAGAGGCATGATTGCCCACGCCAGTCTGCAAAGCACCTTATGAGGAATGACAGTTATGCTAATGTTGTGTCCACACAACGAATACAGTTAAAGAAACACTTACCTGCGCAGATGCTGAAAAAGTAACTTAAGAGTTGCATGATTACACCTCGGCAGATCTGCCACAGCAGACCTAAATGCTGACACCTTCTCTTTTCTGGACTCTTTCTCTGTCAAATTTTTAAAAACAATACTGTTAAATATAATCAGAATATATTTGCACTGGAATACATGGGGGTCAAGGGATTAAAGGTAGACCAAACAACACAGAGAAGGGAACTAAAAAAAATGAAATTAAGCATGCGACAGCAAAAGATAAGATGACCTGGCATGAGCTGGTTGACAACATATGCTCCATTGAGGAGAGGGGAGAAGAAGAAGAAGAAGAAGGAAGGAATGTTTATGTTTTTTTGCACCTTGGATGCAAAGATTAAACAGGAAGATGACAGAACATTGGTGAATCAAAGAATTACTTGTAAATGATAGTAAATATAGTGTGAAAAATATGTCTTAAAGATAGGAAATTATGCACATGAACAACAATAAACAATAAATTAAATTTTTTATTTGGTATAGAAAATTAACAAATACTTAACGATAAATATAATTTAGTTGATTTCTTTCTCCAGCTTGCTTTTAACAAGTAACAATGTTAGCCTAATTAACAAATGTTCAAGTCTTCTCTTTCAATTAGCACACTATATCAGTCGACAGGCACTGGTGAACATCATAAATATTAGAAAGATTATTGATTAGAAAAGGTAGACTGTGATGTGGCTGTCCCAACCCGGGGAAGTGAACTGCATGTAAATGAAGCTTGTCCGGATTACCTGTGTTATACATACTGCAGATTATGAGAAATGTAATGACGTGTGTTTAGATGTTGTGGGTAAAGGTCAGGTAAATCCCTAATTTGCATCATCATTAAGTAGGGAGTCAGATAAAAAAGGAAATCCCCAACCAAATGTATTTTTACGGCAACAAATGAAATAATCTTTACAGGGTTTAGTGAGTTTAGGAGGAAGCGGAGAATCGCAAGAATGAAAGGACATGTACAAAAAAAACTGCTTGGAAGTTGCAAGAAAGATTAGAAGTGAGAAAGAATTAAGATTCATTCTGTGTGTGGCCTTTGGACGAGACGAGTGGTTCTGCAATCAAATGAAGGTACTAGCGAGAGTCTGAATGTAGACAAGAAGCCTACAGAGGCAACCTGTACCTGGCTATGTAAACTGAGGACATGATGCAAGTGCAAGCAATCATGGCAGCTGGGAACTTGGGAGCGTCTGTTAATGGAGAACAGCCAGCAAGTGGGCAGAACATTCTATGCCGTCAATGTATAAATAGCTCTAATGTCATGATGTTAAGCCAACACCCTGAGAATCAACCCTAGACAACCGTTAGCAACAGTTGACAAAAGACTGTATACCACCTGAAGCAGTAATTAAATATTTCTGTTCCTGTCTATCCAGTTTTGGTGATGTGTTGTTACTGCTGCTGTCTTCTAACCAGTGATGTGTTGTTACTGCTGCTGTCTTCTAACCGGTGATGTGTTGTTACTGCTGCTGTCTTCTAACCGGTGATGTGTTGTTACTGCTGCTGTCTTCTAATTGGTGATGTGTTGTTACTGCTGCTGTCTTCTAACCGGTGATGTGTTGTTACTGCTGCTGTCTTCTAACCGGTGATGTGTTGTTACTGCTGCTGTCTTCCAACTTGGTGATGTGTTGATTATCTGCTGCTGTCTTCTGAACCAGTGATGTGTGTTGTGTACTGCTGCTGTGTCTTCTAACTGGTGATGTGTTGTTTACTGCTGCTGTCTTCTAAACAGTGATGTGATTGTTATACTGCTGTCTTCTAACCGGTGATGTGTTGTTACTGCTGCTGTCTTCTAACCGGTGATGTGTTGTTACTGCTGCTGTCTTCCAATTGGTGATGTGTTGTTACTGCTGCTGTCTTCTAACCGGTGATGTGTTGTTACTGCTGCTGTCTTCTAACCGGTGATGTGTTGTTACTGCTGCTGTCTTCTAACTGGTGGTGTGTTGTTACTGCTGCTGTCTTCTAATTGGTGATGTGTTGTTACTGCTGCTGTCTTCCAATTGGTGGTGTGTTGTTACTGCTGCTGTCTTCTAATTAGTGATGTGCTGTTACTGCTGCTGTTCTCTAATGGGATATCTGAGGTCCCAGGACTATGAGATGTAGCTTAGTCGAGGTTTCAGTTTCATTGCAATCGGGTTATCCCATATTTGCTCTGTTCTTGTGCCAGTGAAAGTCAAATGAAAGGTCCCTCACTGTCCCATTTAAAAAAAAAAAAAAAAAAAAAAAAACTGGTGAACAAATAATTAGTCCTGGCACAATCCAGAAAGATGTGCATATACTAAATACATATGGTAGTTGCCAGAGGCGCCACTAGAAATTCAGTCTGTCGCTGATGAAAGTAGTCTGTCACAATAAGTTGGCCATACACACACACAAAATTACTACATAAGGTATTTCACCAGCCTACTCATAAACCAGCTACCAGCCATATTGCACAACACAACTCAACTGCTGCACAAATGAAAGGTATTTCACATTATTTATTTATTTTTTAGAACAAACCACACACAGTGCTGCACCAAGCATTAAACTCAGTAGCTCAGGCAGTAAAACCACAGACTTCTGTCTATATGTGAAAAGTGCATTAGCAAAGTGCTGTCAGAAGCAAAAATCATTTTGAAGCTAAACATTCTGCCCTGCCTAGTCCTTCAAATTGAACCTGAAGTCCTGTGATGCACCTGTCTCCACCCAGGGAAATGCAATGCAGAGACCTAATGAAATTGTGCTAAATGTTCTAAGACAGTCCCATTTATCAGATAAGACAGCTGCTTCTAAACCTTTGGTGGTTCTTGTTTTTAACAATCTCACCTGCATATTGTATAACAGGAGTTGTGTTTACATTCTGTCTAGAAACACACGCCAGCCTGAAGCTCTTGGGATCAAGTCAGCACCGGCTGATTTTTTGGGGTTTTTGTTTTAAAAAACTGATTTTGCCTACCAGGTCGATCCAGCCAAAAATACGGTACGTGCAAAGCAAGATACTTAAAAGCAGAGGTGGCTAGCCCGATGCTGACTGACCACATCACCCAACAAGAGCTGAAGAGCTGGCTAGCACGATGCTGACTGACCACATCACCCAACAAGAGCTGAAGAGCTGGCTAGCACGATGCTGACTGACCACATCACCCAACAAGTGCTGAAGAGGTGGCTAGCACGATGCTGACTGACCACATCACCCAACAAGTGCTGAAGAGGTGGCTAGCACGATGCTGACTGACCACATCACCCAACAAGTGCTGAAGAGGTGGCTAGCCCGATGCTGACTGACCACATCACCCATCAAGTGCTGAAGAGGTGGCTAGCACGTAGCTGACTGACCACATCACCCATCAAGTGCAGAAGAGGTGGCTAGCATGATGCTGACTGACCACATCACCCATCAAGTGCTGAAGAGGTGGCTAGCAGGATGCTGACTGACCGCATCACCCATCAAGAGCTGAAGAGGTGGCTAGCACGATGCTGACTGACCACATCACCCATCAAGTGCAGAAGAGGTGGCTATCATGATGCTGACTGACCACATCACCCATCAAGAGCTGAAGAGGTGGCTATCATGATGCTGGCTGACCACATCACCCATCAAGTGCTGAAGAGGTGGCTAGCACGTAGCTGACTGACCACATCACCCATCAAGTGCTGAAGAGGTGGCTAGCAGGATGCTGACTGACCACATCACCCATCAAGTGCTGAAGAGGTGGCTAGCATGTTGCTGACTGACCACATCACCCATCAAGTGCTGACTGGCCCATACAATTATTAGTCTAACATTATATGCCTGATGCACCAATAGTGTAAAAAGGTCCTTTATGTTACACCTTATGTCTTACACTGTAAAGCATCCTCCATGGAAAACTTCTTTTTATTCTTCAATTTTGTAAGCAATGTTTTTTTTTACATTACTGCAAATAACAACTATATTCCTACTTTCCCCTTCAAGTCAGAAACTTAAACATGTAAACCCCTTTAAGTTAGAATTAAAAAGAGCAAATGTACTTACTAACTGCTTCGATAAACCGAGGATACAAACGGAAAGTAAAAACAGGCTCCTTCAGCTCACGGAAGAACATTTTCAGAGCACCAGTCAGCACATTGATATCCCACTGTTCATCATACAGATTGTAATTATCATCTGTGGAGTTATTAATATACATCTTCAAGTGTACACAAAAAATATTTATACTGACGAGTAAATCTTAGGCTAAAAAACTCTTAGTTCACTGCCTGTAAACTCCAGTGGAATGTTCTGGTTGTTTGTTCACTTCTGGATTTAAGTCTTGTTCCAGAATATGAGTGCACATCTGTTTTTCAGATCTGGCTTATTTATAAGCAGACTGTTGGTTCCTCTCCTCTCAGGCAGATGCACGCTGACTTCGAAAAAAAAACTCCTAATTAGTTTACTTTTATGACATGCTTGTTGTGGTGGGAGCGGAGAGGGGGGGGGGGGGGGGGGGGGGGGGGGGGGGGGGGGTTTGGATCTATTGGAACCGACATGGAGACAGTGTTTGATGAAATCAGATGCTGAAAGGCACAGATACTGCAGGCTAAGTGTAAACTGGCACACAATGTGCCAACCACAATTTACAGAACATACAGAAGAGGACATTCAATCAATCCTGGGTGCTCTCCATAGAGTGGCTGCCCAGTGAGGGTGTCGTCATATAAAGCATGAATTCCATAGCTCTGGTGATGACTCTATCTTCTCCCCCCTACCCCCAGCAATCTCCAAAACAACTGCACTCACTAACTAATACAGGCCCTACATTTTTACATAAACAGTCTGAGAATACATCTGTATATATTTCATAGGATTGGACTTACATAAGACACTCCCAAAAAACAAACAAAAAAAAAGTGTCTTTGTAACATGTTTAGTACTGTCTAGCATTGGAAAGGGGGAGGGGGGTCTAAAACCTGAGGATGTAGGCCACATGTCAAGTGCAGTCACCATGAAGTGTGTAGGTTAGGATGTTTATTTTTGCTCAAAAAGGAAAACTGCTTGAACCCGCCTCCCATATGAGCATCCAGCTTTCTAAACATTTCGCCAGCAGCTTCCTAGACACCAAAAGCACAGTTCCAATCTCCAAGCTCTCAAACAACATCATAGACTAAAGTCTGACTTTAAAAACAACTCTGAGAGAGTACACAAGATGAAGCCGAGTTAGTGACCGACCTGTATCAACTGTGCAGCGCAATCTCTGGATCTCAGCCATGTTGCCACTGATCCTGTACAGACCATCATGAGTTATTCCTGTAAGAAATAACGAAACACAGGTAACAACAGACAAGACACAGGAGCCCAGTTAAACCAAACAATAGTCCAAACATATGAGGGGAAGTCAATAAGTAAATCCTAAATGATTGTTTAAAAAAAAACACTTAAGACGATAACTTGAAAACCTTTTTTTTTTTTACACATACACTGTCCCTTTACTTTTCAACATAGTTTCCACCAACACTGATGTACTTGCCCCATCATTTTATCAGTCCTCCCAAATCTGCTGCACAGAACTGTGTGCTCTGTTTTTTAAACCACATTTTCACTTCACATTCAACTTCTGCATCATTCACAAAATTCCTCCAGCCAAGGTGGGTTTTCAGTGGACCAAAAAGGTGGAAATCACTAGGGGGTTAAGTTGGGACTGTTTGGTGGATGTTTCAGAAGTACCCACCCAAGATGGTTAATTTTCTCTTGAGTTAACCCAGTCGTCTTTGGTTGGCATTTTCACGAAGGAGCAGCACTCCTCTAGTCAGCAGGCCTGGACGTTTTCTTCAAATTGCATCATGAAGCATCAATAGAACTTTACAGTCGAAATTAGCATTCACGCTGTCACCTTTTTTTTTTAAGCACTTACTGATATTTCCAGAACAATGTCAGCATATTAATTGTTCCTGCTAATGGCATATCCTTGAATTTTTTAACACAAGGCAAAGTAGGATGTTTCCATTTCATTGAAGCAAGCTTTGATTTAGGCTGGTAGTGATGCAACCATGATTCGTTCCTAGTAACGATCCTGTTCAGCATGTCTTCTCGCTTATCTCTGTATCGACAGAGATGCTGTAAGGACATGCCTAATCGGTTAATTTTGTGTTCGTCCGTCAACGGTCTAAGTACAAACCTTGAGCACATTTTCTTAAATTTCAATCAATCATGCATTTATGTTGTATGCTGAACCATGTGAGCACCCTACTGCAGAGGCTACAGAGTCAACTATTACTCACCTGTAAACTCTAATCATCTTCTCCAACCGCTTCACGGATACATCTGTTGCAATCTCAATAGGACAACAGGGACAACAGATCAAACTTGATCAACAATCGCAGAATGTCCTCGAGAAATATTTTTTACCCAGCTATGCAACGCTTTACAGGATAAACATTTGTCAGTATAAACAGGTAGCATTTCCTTATGAATGTTCTTTGGAGGCAGCCCTTTTGCTCCAAAAGAAGAAAAAAAAAGCACAACAGCATGTTGTTCTTTGAAAGTCCACTCCGTAAGTACAGTCACCATTTTGTTTCTGTATTGCAAATACGCATGCAACACCTAGCGCGACTTAGCGAACTGAGACATAAAGTCTGATGTTGATGTTACCTAATAACAAATTAAGAAACCATTAACTGCATTTTCCTGCCCTCCGATAACCATTTGTGACTTACTTATTGACTTCCCCTCGTATAATAATTTTAGGTTCAATCAGTGTCATAAAATACATGTTACAATTAAACAAAAATCACATAAAGTAAAAGGTACTTTTCCACACCTTCAAGTGTATCGAGCATATAGGGCTAGACCTATAGTTTATAGACCAATCAGCAGTTGGTGTGTGATATGGTCAATATCACACCAGCCACCTTTACTTCCCAGGGCATTCAAGGTACCCAAAAAAAAAAAAAAAAAATATTTAATATAATAAATGACCCCTACTACTACGACACTGGTACATCAGATGTATGGTGTCACAACCATACTGATAGAAACCATTCAGTACTTGACCGGTGTTGTGACTAACTTTAAAACTGACCTGGGTGCCAAAACATAAATGTAAAACTATAACAGAAATAGGCTATCCTCCGAATAACGGGCGATAAAGATGGCGGCCACAAAATATCCTTTCGAGCCACAGTCACGTGACTTAATTTGCGGTTCTCTGGCGACTACTGCCACCACCACGAGTCCCCCACGCCGCTCACACGGCATGGATTGGGGCTAAACTAAATGGCTAGGACTCACGAGCAAAACTTCAGGAGATGCAGAAGCTGCTGCTCATGGGTCCTAGCCATCTGTTTTAGCCCCAATCCATGCCGCGTGAGCGGCATGGGGGACTCTTGGCGGTGGCAGTAGTCGCCGGAAAACCGCCGGAGAACAGCAAATTAAGTCGCTGGAAGTGCGTAATTGACACGTGACTGTGGCTCGAAAGGATATTTTGCCGCCGCCATCTTTACCGCCCGTTATTCGGAGGATAGCCCAGAAATATGTAAAACTATAACAGAAATATATAAAACAATAACAGAAATATAAATAACAGATGAACTACCAGATTAAATTATAGTTCTTAATGTGGGTCCCCCATCTTAGGTATTGGTGTTTAGGATTCTTATTATTATTCATCTGCATCATGTAGCAGGTCCTTTGAAGAATGTTGTGCTTCATCACCATCTGCCTGAAAGAAACTAGGTCTCTCGCTAGCTCTCCAACCTCATACACTTTCATACCCAAGGATTTACTTGTATCCTGTGCCCATCTTCGTGCTGGTCTGCATGTGCTCATCATCATGCTGGCTGGCCCTTGCCCTTTCCTCCCAGCTTTCATGCCTACTGGTATTATATTTTTGTATTTGCTGTGGTGGGTGATATGGCCAAAATATTTCAGCTTACGAGACAAAATTCTGATTATAAGCCAAATTTCCTTGATATTCAGATCTTTTAGGATGCCAGTTTTTCTTTCCTTCTTTATTCATGGTGTTCTGAGAATCTTTCTCTAGTGTTTCAGCTCAATAGCCCCTGTTTTCTTCATTAAGGACTGCAAGATAGCCCACTACTTGCATCCATGTGTTGCTGCAGGGAAGATGCTTTTTTTTTCTGACCTCCATTGAACAATCTCCAGTGCTGTTTATTATGGACATTTTAAATTTCTTCACCATAACTTTTTATTTTAGGGTGATAGGCTTTCTTATTTTTTGTTTTTAAGAAAATATTCCTTTTCAGCAACCCCCCCCCCCCCCCCCCCCCCTCCTTTTCCCTTTTCCAATTAATAGTTTGTCTATAGTAAATTCATTTCCCAAACAACAGAATAATGGCGGAACCAAACAAAATTAACTATTATAACAACATTTAAACCACATCTGCTTGACTGCATATCGAACACAACTCTGATTCAATATCTTCTTTGATGCACCTGAAGCCCAACACATATAAAATGCAGCAAAACTGGAATCAGTCCTCTTTTATGACATGCTTGTTAGGGGGCAGTGGGTCTATTCCCAGCACCTCAGCCCCCCCTCCCCCTCCCCTCTTCCTCCCCCAATGAGTAACTGGGACCCACATAGGGATGTGAAAGTTAAAAATGTTAATTTAAAGGTAAGAAGATCAACTTCACAGCATAAATTCTTTGTGTGGGTTTTAGGACTTTATTTTTCAGGAAAAATAAAAATAGATCCACTGCGCCTAACAAGCAATTAGAAAACTAACTCTCTAACATAGATGTACCTTTTGATTCAACAGCTGCTATACACTTGCGTACAAAATTTGGCACATTCTCTTGTTCCCTGTCACACAGCTCATGAAGCCGTGAACCAAATACAGCATCTGAAATATAAGCATTCACATTTTTACTGACACTGTAGAAGCAACCCAGAATTTGTTTTTCAATTGTTGCCGTGTTTCTAGGCAAATTTTATGTTCAGTAAATGGTCAGCTCTCGATACCATATTCGAAACCAACACAAGACTCTGCTGCAAATTCGCCTGCAGCTGGGATTGAACCTGACACCCGAGCATTATGAAACTTGTTCACAATGACTAAGCCACAGAAGTATGAGTAACACTATAAGTATCAGTTACCCATCTATGGTCAAAGAGTCAGTTAATTCTCCACGGTTTTTGTGTATTTTGATCACTCCACTTCTTAATTATGACAAGATTTTTTGGGGTCGATAAATGAAACTTTTGGAAATCTTTTTGTGACTGGTGTAAAATATTAAATTTTTTTTTTGTAAAGAATTTAGGGGTGGGGGGTCCCTGAAATGCAGGTCATTGGCTTTTTTCTAAGGTCACCGAGGTAAAGGGTTAATGAGAGAAACATCAGGCGAATAATCAGATCTTCACTGTGAAACCCCACTTCAGAACTGGAATAATACATAAATTTAGGTAGAAATGTAGACAAGGATACGTTAGTTCGTCGACAGATTATCCTCACTGCCCATCAAACCACTCAGTCCATAAGTGCTCTGATCCCCTCCTCAGTAAATCCTGCAGCGTGTAGCGGCTAAAGACACCAGTTCTGTGTTGGTTTATTATTATTCGTTGACTACCTGTGTAGTGTTTTTGTTTGGCAGCACCCCGTTTAACATGTTGTTCTTGCAGTCTGACCATGGCTGCAGATTCACAGTTCTCAGTTGGTTCACGCAAACGTCTTAACTCTCAGAGCATTCAGTATATCAGCCTGGTCCATGGCTTGTCCGGCTTTCACAGTAGCCTTACCTGCAAGCGTATCAGCTTGCTCATTTCCTTGTACCCCCACATATCCTGGCACGAAAATAAAACTAATCCTTGTCGGCCGCGAATTCTGTAGAGCCACCAACCACTGCCTTCGGACTTTAGACAAAGATAGAGCAGACAATAGCTATTACATCAGAATACAGAAGGCAGGAGGAGCTTTCACAGTATTAGGAAATTAAGAAATATGTGGAAACCAAAAGAAATTAAATCTTGTACCAAATTAAGAATATTAAGCTACATCAGAGGGAGCAGACACCTAGACAAGGAAAAAAACAATAATTAAATAAACTAGAAACAGACAGACACAAACTCTAAAATGGTATAACAGAATGACAAAACAAAGTTTAGAGAGAGAACTAAGCAAATTCTAGTGAAACAAGGAATGATAACAAGATACTGGAGTTTGAAAATGGCAAGCAATGAGAAAACATGCTGATCCTGATAATATAACTACAGAGTACTTTCTTGGAAACCTACAGGGCAAAGAAAAAGGGCAA